GGTAAAAATAATTGGTATTTTGCAGAGATTTTAAATAACCTAGATAACTAACTCGCCGTTATCATTGAAGCCACAACATACCGGCCAACTGATAATGCCGCCATTTGCAAAAAGGTCAATATGTCAATATCGTGTAAATGTGTAATGAATCATTACTAATGATGTACCTACCTACTTTCAGAGACTGACTTTAAATTTAAGTAATAAATAATTTAAAATCTTTGTGTACTAGTGAAAAGTGAAAACAAAATAATTTAGTTTCGATTTCAATCATGCCAGTTGCCTGTGCTGCTTATGGCTGTAGTAATAGGCGTAAACCTGATGGCGGGTTGTCATTTTTTGGGTGAGTTAGTAATGATATATTATATTAATAATTATACTAATAAATAAGGAGTGATTAATGGAAAAATTGTGTGATTTTGTTATTTTTTAATTATTTAATATTTTTTGTTAATTATTAAATATTTATTTTACAGGTTTCCTTTGGGCAATCCTGAGCTATTAAAACAGTGGTTACAGGCAATGAAAAGAAAACAATTTACTCCTTCACAATATTCCAAAATTTGTAGTGAACATTTTTTATCTAGTGACATTTTAGATAGACCTGGTACATACAAAAAACATTTAAAACCAGATGCTGTTCCGACTGTATTCCCTGCTATGCCTTCATATTACCAACCAATTCCTAAAAAGCCTAGACGTATAGTTCAACGTACAATATCAAAAGAAGTCACTGTATTGAGAAGTAATGAGAACCATCAAGTTATGTCATCAATTAATGAAAATAACACTGAAGTTGAAAATTGTACAAGTGTATCAACTGAAAATCAAAATCTTAAAATTGATAAAAGTGTTCAAACTGAAGAAAAGCCTCTAGATCACACTGTTATTGCTTTGAGACAAAAAGTAAAAATTTTACAACAAAAAGTTAGGAGGCAACAGTTAAGAATATCAAATTTGAAAGATTTAACAAGATCCTTAAAAAAGAAAGGTTTTGTTGATGATTCAGTTGAAAATGTATTACTTGATCAATTTGATGGTATGACATTAGAACTTTTTAAGAACCAGCTTAAAAATGCTAAAAAGCTTTCGCATGGACGTAGATATACTGATGAGTTTAAACGGTTTGCTTTAACATTGCATTATAATTCCCCTAAGGCTTATAACTTTTGTAGGTAAATACACGCTATTTTTTGCTTTCTTATTATTTTAAGTACCTACCTAATAATTAAAAACAATTACAACTCTATATATTTTTATGCTTGTATTATGCTTATATGAATTATACAATGGTTAATTTATACTGGTATATTGGTAAAAACCACTTAAAAAATATTTATTTATTTTATAATTTATAATAAGTAATACTTGTTTTTTTTTTTTGTATTATTATTTATTTTAGAAGTATAATAACATTGCCACACCCATCATCGATTTCTAATTGGACATCTACAGTCAACGCTGAACCTGGTTTTTTTAAAGAAGTTTTTGAAGCTCTTCAGTCTTTTCCAACAGAAGACAAAGATTGTAATTTGGTTCTCGACGGGATGTCAATTAGAAAACAAATTCTTTGGGATTCAAAAAATGAAAAATTCATTGGATATTGTGACTTTGGAAATGATTTGCAGTTACAAAATGTAGATACTCCAGCTACAGAAGCTCTAGTGTTTATGTTAGTATCAATTAATGGCAAATGGAAATGGCCAATTGGGTATTTTTTACAAACTAAGTCATCAGCAAATATTCAAGCTGAATTAATCAAAACTGCTATAAATCTTTCGATAAAACATGGTCTTCGGGTATTGAGTGTGACATGTGATGGTACATTTTCCAATTTTTCTTCTTTTTCATATCTTGGTTGTACGATTCGTGGTAATATTAATGATTTGGTTCCGTACTTTTTACATGGAGATAAAAAACAAAAGATTTATTTTATCCCTGACGCTTGCCATATGCTAAAACTAGCACGTAATGCATTAGGCAATTGTAAGCAAATTAAAAGCAAAGATGGTGTAATAGATTGGAAATATATTGAAGCTTTACATAAGATCCAAGATACTATAGGCCTAAAGTTTGCTAACAAGTTATCTAAAGCCCACATTGAATGGGAAAGTAATAAAATGAAGGTAAAACTAGCAGCGCAAACACTTAGTTCTTCAACTGCAGATGCCCTAGAATTTTTAAAAAATGAAAATTTTCCAGAGTTTACTCATTGTGATGAAACTGTTAAATTTATTCGAACAATCGATAGATTATTTGATTTTCTTAATAGTAGACTTCCATTTGCTAAAGGATATAAAAAACCAATCTATGCTAACCAAATAGAGTCTCTGGAAAAATCTATATTACCATTGATACAGTATTTATTCACACTAACTGATCAAAATGATAATCCTTTGTATGTAGGTAAAAAAAAAACATTTATTATTGGACTAACTATTGCTGTACTTTCTGTATTTTCTGTTGCTAAAGAATTATTGCCTAATAATAAATTTTTGAAATATATCTTGACTTACCGTTTTTCGCAGGATCATATAGAATTATTATTCTCTCGTATAAGAAAAAGGTATGGCCTAAATAACAACCCAAACGTACTCCAATTTAAAACTGCTATGAAGCAAATAATTTTAAAAAATAGCATTACCCCTTCACCAAGTGCAAATAGTATTGCTCTTGATGATGATCCTGTTGGGAACATTTTTGAGATTAAATGGGCACAAAAAAAGGTACACCTTACTGAGTCAGATGTTAGTGATCAAGGCATTGAGAGTATAGAAAACAATTGTGATGAGCTAGGCGATGAGATGTTATTAAATAAAATATCAATTATGAATAATGATAGCTCTAATTTATATGATCAAAAATTAAATATATTATATTATATAGCAGGCTTTGTTGTAAGAACAATTTCACAAAAAGTCTTCTGTATTTCCTGCAAAAAAAGCTTATTACAAAAACAAACAGATCATAACCATGTTCATAATGATTTTTATACAAAATTTGTTGATATTAAAAATTATGGTGGTTTAGTTTCCGCATCATCTAGTGTTTTTGAAATAATTAAAGAGACTGAGAAAAGAATTTTTATTTTAACTAATAACTTAGGCAATATGAATATTACAAAAATATCAACAAAAATTATAATATTAGTTAAAAACTATTTTTCTCAGAATTCTCAAATATTTGGTGAATTAGATTGTGAAAATGAAAATATGTTGGCAAGCCCACATAAATTAGAACTAATTAAATTAGTTGTTAGCATGTACTTAAAAATAAGATTTCATGCATTTGCAAAAAATCATTCTTTGGCTATAAATTGCACTAGTAAAAGAAATAAATTCAATAAACTTGTGTTGTTTCTAAACCAATAATTTATAACGTGAAGGTAACAAATGTATAATTTGTGGAATGTATATTTTATAATTTGTATAATGTATATTTTATAATTTGTTTAATGTATGTTTTATAATTTGTATAATGTATATTTTATAATTTGTATAATGTATATTTTATAATATGTATTGTGTATAATTTATAATTTACTATGTGTAGTACGATATTCTATATGAACTATACATTTATACCTAATCTGTATAAAAAATAATTAAGGACATTTTTAATCTAAATAATAAAAAAATTCAGTTACTATAATAATATTATGTTTTACTATATCCAGCGACATAATATCTTGACCTCTTTACAAATGGCGGACGTTTACAACAGCTGGATTCAGATTATGTGATAGGTGATATTGATAGTTAGTTATCTAGGTTATTTAAAATCTCTGGTATTTTGTTTATAATTTTATTTATTATCTATTTATTACTTATCTATGATAATTATTATTAATTAATAATTTGTAAACGCTTAACTGCTGCTCAGTGTTGCCAGACGTACGATAATTATCGTATTTGTACGATATTTATTGTTCATGTACGATGTACGATAGGGGAAACGTTATCGTACGCGAAAATACGATAATTTTGAAATAACTGTGACGATTTTTATAATATCGATAATCGATAATATTTCCCTAAAACCAAGAAGATATCGATATTTTTTTAAATATACAAATAAACTCATACGATTGGCCAGCCGAATGGGTGCAATTATTGTTATTTGATTTTTTTTCTAAAAAAGGTAAAACAACAATTCTTAACAACTAATAAGTATTGTTTTTAAATATTGAATACTTTATGAGAAAGCCATTTTATTTTATTATTATTATATAGATATTTAAACTATTATTATTTGAAAACTTTTTGCAAAATAAGTTTGAAATTATAATTAAATAAAAAGAAGATCGTTATAAGTGTTTTAGTTTCTTTAAAAAAAAAAAAAAAAACAAAAAGGTTTAGAGATACTATTCTTCAGATCTGTGAACGAGTGTCTAGCGTACATAGATATTCGATAATAATATTATTTTTGTTGTACTTTGACATGAAGGGTCAGAGGTACTAACTACTAAGATAGCTGGGCAGCAAGCTGGCTATTAGTATTTAGTTTGTTGCTTCGGAGTGTTATCAAGTACCGCTCTCTTATCATTTGTTGGACAACTGCGGTTGCTGATTGTCCACAGTATGCGAGCGTAGCGAGCGAAAATATTTTCGTATGTACGATTTTTTTTTTTGAAAAACGATAATTATTTAAGTACTTTACGATAATGTTAGTTTGAAAGTCTGGCAACACTGCTGCTGCTAAAGGCTAAACGCTTAACTGCTAAAGGCTAAACTATATATTTATGTTTAGTATTTAAAATGTTAAATATTTTATTGTCATATTATATTTATATAGTATTTACTATTTAGGAAATTATTTATACTGTATATAGTTTTACCTTACTTATAAATAAGTACTCTTATTTAATATTATTTATCTTAGATATATTTTGGACTTGTTACAAAAGTATAAAGTTGTAGTGACAATAAAGATAAATATCATTCATTTGGCATTAAACTAATATATTTATTTAATTAATTAATTTACTACAGACAAGGACAATGACTTCAATATTACAAAAAGTGTTGGATATTCCCAGTGTACTTTCTCATTTATTAGAGGTTGATATTAAAGGTAGGTTTTGCGAATAGCTAATAGACATTTTTTCCTTATGAACTTGCACTAGTGTACTTAACCTTTTGCTAACCTATTTAATGTTTGAAATAGATATTACCAATTGCAAAATTTTGGGACAGGAACAAAATGGAGAATTTATCCTCTGTTGGAACTTAAAAGGTCAAGGAGGATCTTGTACTGCAGTAGGATTATTTTTTTACACCATCAAAAAAATACAAGTGAATATTTATTAGATTATATGACTACAGTGGTGTCGAGTACTGGTGTAACAAGCAATTTTTCTGAAATGCCTTTTTTGGTATTTATTAATTATTATTTATTGCGTCTACCTACCAAGGTTAACACTATTATATAAGTTTAAGACAATTATATATAATACAAATAGTTAGGTCTGCCCAAAAAACTTTATGTGTAAAGCATATAAAACCGATATATGACAGCCAACCAACCAATTCCCTGTAACATGCAATTTAACATTATGAAATTCACCATGAATCAAAAAATTGCCATAACTTTTCTATAGAGTGTTCACCATAAAATTGTATCAAAAAGACGTCATAAATCAATATTAAACTTGGAAAACAAGTATATTTTTAATATAAAATCTTGAAAGAAAATAAGTTAACAGATAATAGGTACCTAATCTACCTATACATCTATATATATGTCAAGGAATTTTTTTGTTGAAATATGCTTTAGGTATCAAGTTTTGTTAAGTAGACCTATTTATATTATTTCGTCTAGCAGATTACAAAATTGTTGTAAAATAATATAATGCAATCCAGCAGTGTTATCTTTTGGTAGTTGCAGTAATAGAATTGAGTTAACTGGAAAATTGTATAGGTAGTATTAATAACCAATAATCCCTTTTTTTGGTCAGTTAAGATCATCCTAAATTCTTCTATCCAACAAAAAAATTTCAAGGATACCTACAGAAGGTAGTATACTACTGAATAACCGAATGAAATGTTTCAATACTTTGAAGTGAATTCATCTCTGTGTAATTCATAAGATATTTTTTGAACTTGAGTAATTGTATGAGTAGTTAATTGAGTAGTAAATAATACATAAAATAGTTTTATCGTAATAATTCAAGTAATGAAATCCCTAGAAAATTGAATACTTATCTACATGATGATAAGTCTTAAATAAAAGTATAAAAAAAAAATCTTAATTATAAAACAAATAATGTATTTTGAACTATTTAATTTTCAGGTTTTAATTAAGTTCAAACATTTGATGAATATTGTTCAAGCTTCAATAAATTATAAAAACTCAGTTCTTGGTAATATTATTTTTATTGTTAGATATTAATAAATTACATTTTAAAAATTTACTTTCAGGCTATGTAACCAAAGAGCCATTTGAAGATTGTGTGGAATATTATCGTGTTTTTATTATCCACCTTGATTATCCTAATTTTGAGCCAGTTGATTTGAATGTTAACAACCGTCGCCAAACCATGATTCAATTTTTATACAGGAAACGTAAACAGCCAGACAATGATCGCTTTTTAGTTTTTATTCATGAAACATGTAAGTTTTTGATTTTAAATTATTTAATACTTATAATTTTCTTTGAGAAAACATTCAATCAAAAAAATCTAAATCTAACAACTGAAAGAAAATTAATATTGCTTATATTTAGCTATAACACTTTATCAAGTGGAGGAAACTGATAATGTAAAGGTGAAAAGTTTTCATAATAGCATGCTCAGCATTATTTTATAGTTTTTCTCTTATTTACCTTATAATTATTTAATTGAGTTTTATTATAATTTTTAGAACCATTTAAATATAAAAAAGCAAGAAAAGGTTGTGAATCAATTTTCATGGGCTCAATGGGAGCCACAGCATCAATGTTTATTTTACATTCATTATTCAAATATGGCTAACAGTAATTCAGATGAAGCTAGTCTCTCTGCCTTACAATTTCATGATGAACCTCAACATGAAACTGTGGTATTTATTTAGTATATTTGGTGCAGTATTGTTGTTTTTAATTATAATTCTAATTTTAAATAATATTCTAGTTAAATGTCCCATTAAACCTACCAAACAGAAAGAGAACAGCAGAAAATCTATCAAATGGTTATTTTGATATTCCTGTTCCATTGTGTGTTCATGACAGTATGTTAGATGTTCGTGTGTTGTCAGATGCACGAGGATTTGTTGCAGTTTGCCATTATTATTTATATCAAGTATGTACCTATATACTCCGGGCCACGAGAGAACGCAACCGCTTGCCGACCATATTGTGTTTAGTCTGTGGATTTTCCACCGAAAACCGGTCTAAAGCGCAGCACCTGTGATCACCTGAGTTAGCCGTGACATGTTATACGGTGACTAGTGACCGCTGGTAGGAGGAAAAAGCAACTGCTCGAATAAATCATTTGGATTCTCAAAGCAGTTGCATTCTCTCGTGGCGCGGAGTATAGTATTACATTTTTATTTTTAAAACTATATTATTATATAGGATTTTATTTTTATTTCTTACCAATATCCGAAATTCATAAGAAATTTAGACAAATATTAAATTCTAATTCTATAGTTTTTATACAATGTTTCTAGCTTTTAAGTGATTGATTGTAAAAACCAAATTAATTTATTGACATAAGTTATTTGTAAGAAACATTTTCAAAATCATAAACTAATTTTAATCTCATTATTTTTGTAAGAAGAAGGAAAATAATCTGTAGTTTTACTATTACTTCTTTCATAAAAATTTTCATAGTAGGGACCTATTCCAATTTACCAATAAATTATAATATGTGAATCACTTAGGTTGAAAATAAATATTGTTAATTTTAGGGAGTTAGTGCTCCGTTGGCCAATGATCATTTAAGAACAGTGTATTTGGCTTTTTCTGTTACTCTTCTGCACCATGGCAGTGTAGTTCATTGCAATATAGCTGGTGTACCTATGGTTCGTGCATACGAGTCTCGTCCAATATTCACTATGCAAGGAGGTAGTTTAAAATGTTTAACTTCAGAGTGTATTAAAAGTTATATCTAGTTATTGTGCTCATTTATTGAGAGTCAATTAGTAACACAAAATATTGTAAATAAAGTTTTCAACAATTGCATGAAAATATTTAAATCTGCTAGGGCTGTTCGATTTTCATAATACATAATTAGAGTGCTTGATTGTTGAAATAGTTAAGGACCTATCAAAGCGGCTACTGCCTTATGTCATAATTAAGGATTCGTAGTGACACAAATTTTAAGATCTAAAGTGATGCCAAAAACTGAAATTGTAATATAATGTAGATAGGTTAACAATTTTTGTGGAAGGGCACTAATTTTGTAGTTATGCACTTGCGCCCCTGTTATAGGAAATGCATTTAAAGACTAAAATTCACAGCATTTGTGTTGAAATTAAAATAAATACTTATCTATTCATTTTATTTCATAATAGTTAGTTATAGACTTATAGTTGGAAAATTAATAGTTATTTTATAATTAATGCTAATGCTAATAAATTAAATTTTCAACAAATTGTGTTATATTATATGTTAGGTTAATAGATTATACAATTCAACAAACAAGAGACAACATTTAAAAAGAAACTTCTTTTCTTCTTAGTACATATTAGAAATAACTTTCTATACTATATTTTTTCGATTAACCCGTAAGTGGTATGGTCTGGTCCCATAGACCGCTGCAGTTTTTGTTTTGGTTTACTTCTTAAAATGTCGTACCACTTACGGGTTAATTAATACATTTTACAATGTACAGTCTTATTTTAATTAATTGATGCTACCAACGATTAATCGAAACAATCAAACAGCCCTAATTCTGCATCCTAAATATTTTGCATGGTGTGATAAGTATAATTTATTAGTGATGATAAAAATATTATTTTCTATACATATAATTTGTTTTGTTTAGTTTAGTTGAGTTTAATTGTTTAAATAATATTTTACTGTTTGATGATGATTTTATGCTATTGAAAACTGAAATATTTGGTATCTCTTCAATAAGTAAAAATTGAAAACCGACCTTAAAGTTCTACCTAAACTTGATATACAATAAAAAGATGAATGGGTTACTTGATCCTTTTGAAGCACTATCTCTATGACTCTATATGTAATACAATGTCTATGAAATTGTATTATTTTTGTTTATATACTGTTAGAAAAATAAAGACGATAGTACAAAAAAAGGTAAGATCGTTTTTAATTTTTAGATACCATATTAAGCTATCAAAAAAGTTTGAGTAGATTAAATATTACTGTACATAATATCAAATTAATTTTTTTTTATCGTCTTAACTTATTTTGGAATTAAACCGATTTTATAATAATTATAATTAAACTATTAATTTGTATTATGTTATTAAATAAATAAAAAAATGTTGATCAAATAAGTAAATTAATTGTTTTTCTTTTATTATAGATCAACATTTATTGGTTCACTTCCCCAACATGTGTACATTACTTCTGGATGTAGGCCCTGATCATGAACCAAATTGCCATATTGTCATACCTTGTGCGGACGAAAACAGAAGTTGGAAGAGTACAATAGCCACAACAATTGGGTCTGCGGGTACAGTGGTAGATTTATCTACAATGGCTGTATTTGAAACAAAAATCACTAAACGCCACTTAATTGAAGCGTTTAAACAACCAAATGCTGTACTTGCCAATCAACAAGCCATATTGCATTATTTTATTGTACATAGGCGAGACATGGATGTTGTTAACCAAGTAATGTTATTTATGTTTAACTGTAAATTTAAGTCATAATAATCATCAACTATTAAAATTTGTGTAGCTTTTAAATTCGGTTGTGGACAATGGTTTAAATATTAACTGTTCAAAGTTGCTGCAAGAAATATTAGTGGGAAGTGCTTTTGCCCAAGTCAAGCGAAATTTACTGTCTGACGCTGTAAGCCTAGCTAGATATTTACCTATTACAATATCTAAACATAATATACCACTAGAAATTAAGGTAATTACATTCACTTTAAATACAATTGTTTACATTGCTAGTTATTTTCTAAATGATACTTTTTCTTCAAGAGTGATTCAATGTGATTGTGTGTTTGCAGTATTTTATACATTTATTGTATTCATTAAGTTTATCTATTTATTTGTTACTTTTTTTTTTCTAGAATTCAAAAGAATATTATTAATATTTATTTCTAATGTAGGTGAATGGATACACACTTGCTCTTTCTCAAGAAATGTTAGAAAACCCTAGGGTCATGTTGTTATCTCCTCGACAGAGATTGATACCATTTCGCGATGACTTGTGGACAAGATTATGGGAACTCTTACCCGGTGGATCTATTGTAGAAGATAATGCTACTTCGAGACTAGAGATCCCTCGTTTTTCAAACACAACTGTTGCAGTCAAACTTAATATATCATTAGTGTGTTATCAGGTAATATAAAATGTGCTTAAATGTACTGAAGTAATTCAAAAAAAGGATCATTAACTTTTATTATGTATATTTCTTAGCCCGAAGTTCTTTCTCGATGTAGCACACCTCTGTCACCTGGAGGATCAATGCTTGCTAACAGCATTGCCAACATTGCAATATCTGATCTGTCACACTCGTTTCAATCATCATCGGTGCAATTACCGTTTGTGGAAACCGACACTTCAGCAGCCAGTAAACAAGAACATGTCATCTCTGTTGTGAGCTAAACTAAACTATACTAAATAATAATTTTTTTTTAGTATAGTATAACTTGATTTTGTGTTCTTACAGAACCTCCGGGAACTGAGCATGCACCTACTGAAGCAAAGTTCGATGCGTTCTAACAAACTTCGTAGCCGGTCCATGTCTGAACCTAATGCCATGCATGTGCATGCTGTGGCCACTAAATATGCATCATCTCAGTTAGAGATCTCAAGGTCACTGTGTGCTCATCTAACTTTGGCCGCTGGTGTAGATGCAAGATTACATAAGCAAATCGGTTTCCAACTCATGTACGCTAATACCATGGTTGAAATACGTATATTTTTTTTTAAGTTTATTTCAACCATGGCTAATACCAGTAATACTAGTAGTAAATAATATATATAATTATTATGCTGCCAAGGAGTTGGTCCTGTGACAATAAAAACTTCTGTTTTTCAATCGCCTTTCACTTTTAATGATTTAACTGATATTTTATTTAGAATATTGATGTATCTAATTTGAGCGAGTAGTTTGCGTAGTAAGGATTATAATTTATATGTCTATGGTAACGGATTAAGTAGTTATGATTTGAAAATGTTAATAATTAGTTATTAATATTGATCTATCAATAAAAATAATTTGTAAAAATTGGCCCTGTATAATAAGAATTCAGAAGTACATAATATCGATGGCGTAGCGCACAAGCGTGATAAGTGACATTTTTTTGAAAAATGAGTTAAGTGCATAATCAATTTAATCATACAATTCTGCACATTATGCCCAAACGTTGTAAGTGAATAGTTCATTATTTACTCCGATAGATGTCGTACAGTTCGTTACATTTTTGAATTTGTTATGACATCTCAAACTTAAAAATCGTTCTCCTGAACAATTACGAAAATGTCACTTATCACACTTGTGCGTTACGCCATCGATATAATATCACATATATTTTATATTTTTGTAAAACCAATTTTAAAGATTATTATCCTTAGTATAAACATTTCAACAACTCAGAAACTACTCATTAGAAGTTTGATTTAGATTGATCGATCAAGAAAATCGTCTGCTAAATAATTTGCAGTAAGAAAGGGGGTTCTCATTTGAAATATAAAAGTTTTTATCGCCAAAAGATACTCTTTAAGTAGAGCAAAAAATATCAGAAATTTAAAAATATGGTTTTTATGTACTAAAAAATTCTAAAAACCGAATTTGATTAAATGTTATATTAAAGAGAAAGATGGAGGTTGAGCATGAAATTGCCATGTAGAAATCCGTTTCATATTTTGTAAATATAAACAAAATACTATTTTTACATTATATACAAAGGATAAACTATTAATTAGTAATTATTGTATTATATATATTTTTTTTGGCTTTTCAGTGACAATATTGAAGATGAACAACGCCGATCACTGTTAATGGTATTACAGAGACTCATACACGCTGCAGACACATTGGCTTTCCCTTTGCCTCAAGGTTTCCCATCATTCATCACATACCTCGGATATAAAGTCATGTCAGCCACCATGTTTGGTCAGTATGTTCGATGCAACACATTTTTACTGAATGTGGATGTTATGAAAAAAATACTAGCTGGTTAGTAAACATTTGATTATAATAATTATTTGTGATAAATCATGCATGATGCATATTATTTAATCTTTTAAGCTGCAATAGTTGCAATAAAAATGCTTAAAAATACAATAATTGCAAAAATAAATACTTTTAAACAAAGATAATTATTTAAAAATAAATTATATTAAAAATTATTATTATATCCGATGAATAGTTGATACTGGTTAATTTTAAGTTGATTATATTACTAATTCACCTATTATATATTTTTAACAGATATAGTAGACAATAAAGAGGGAGTGTTGAAAAAATTAGATCTCTTACAGAGTTTACCGCACTCGAGAGCTAAACGATTAATGAATCAATGGTCTCATCCTATGTCTGTCATGTTGAGAGCAAGAGAACATGCCGCCGAGATTTTAGGTGGTATGTCTATCAGGACATCCAATTACCGTCGCAATGTAAAATACCGAACAAATTCTGGTCAGTTTAGCCTTATGGTCAAGCACTCAAGCTCTTTATTATCGGCAGTCATAACACATTAATATTGTTGTTATATTTGTACCTAGGTGTAACTTCAGCGTTTCCGTCACAACATCGTATGTCACCACTGGAGACATTTCTAGAACTCCTCACAGCTAAAGGCAAGTTAGCTTTTAAAGATTTTCCGAGTTGTAGTACTTTATTCTTATTTATTTTTTTTTTAAGTGAAGTGAAAAAAATAATTATGGATAGTAGAAAATATTTACTACTTACACTCTTATGGCCAGTTATACCATCTCCGATTAAAGTTAACCGAAGTTTATTTGGCCAGTTATAAAATCTGATATCAGCCGATGAAGCGTAATCGAAGTGTAACTGTAGACAGTACAACTTGACCTTATGAATATGATAAAATCCCTAAATTTTGTTTTCATGTCATGTATTTTATTGATATTATTTCCTTATGTATGGCCAATATTTACAGTTTGTCTATTATTTTCAATACTCTTCAACCTACATTAAAAAATTAATATTATTTTAATAATTAAAATAATATTAATTTTTTAATGTGCATGGAATGGGACCACAATTATTGTGGTCCCATTCCATGCACATAATAAATTAATATTATTTAACTAATATAATTTAATTTTCATTGCATAATGTTTATACTCTATGTATTTATATTTTGTTTTTAGCTATGTTGGCTGACATTGATTACAACCTTCTCGTTGACGCTACTGTGGCATCCACAAAAGAAAATATGTTAAACTAAGAATTAAAATACATATATTTCATTTAAAAGTTGCACATAAGAATAGTCATTTATAATCTTTGTGTATAAATTAAATTTACTATATATATATTTATATTGTATAGAAATACAATCTAATAATTAAATTTAACATAGAAAAAAAAAAGATCATATAAATAGTACCATAATAGGAATTAAATTACATGATACCAGTCGAGTTAAATAATTGTGTATTAAAACATCGTAAATAAATTATAATAACAAAGTCGATTTAAATAAAAGTGTTTGTGTTTATAAAGTGTAAGATTTATAAGCCGAAGCCCAACCAGTCGTAGTAGTCCATTGTGGGAGCTGATTAAAAAGTTTTTTCAATTCAGGTGTATATTGATGTGGTCCGTGCATTCGATGCCCGGATAATCCAACTTCAATTTGAGGTCCCACATGAGTTTTTGGAACCTATATAAAAATCAATATTAGTTGTGTAATCTATTTTACCGAAGCAATTATAATTTATTTATTTTATAATATATTTACCTCAATATCGATCCAAAAGTCCCATGGAATAATATCGTTAGCACAAGAATAATACACAAAAAAAGTAGGACGGCCATTCCATAGTGGTCCTTTGAGAGGTTCACCACTACTGAAACTCCAATCTTTCAGCTTGATACCATCGTATAAAGATAACGTAAAAGTTATATGATCAGGACCTGTACATCAGAAAAACATTGTTTTTATTTAATATTATATTAAATGTTCTATAAAATTAAAATTAATTAATAAATACCAATGGCAGAGAACGAGAGCCTCTGGACATTATTTAGTCTGTAATCCCTATATGTTAAATTAAGACTCAATGGTATTTCAACATCTAATGGTTTTGTATCAAGCCAATGAGTTTTCCTAAAGCATTTAACAGTTTAAATTATTTGTACATGCAAAATTTACAAACAGTCGACAAACCATATAAATGTTATAACTGGTATAAAGTATGGTAGTCCACAGTATAGTTCTTTGTTACATTCATCCTGGGTAATTTGACGGGCATTCATCAACTCAGGTGCATGCCTGACAACTGAGTGTGGACTATTCACATCCAGATTTACAATCCACAATCCATTTTGATGGTCCCTCAGTGAACCGTTGTAGTTGTAAAAACTGCGTTCGACATGCTGAAAACAATAATATATCAAATTAAATTTACCATAGTTATTAGTAATAAATTAAATAATTTAAAGAAAAATTACCGCTATCATAAAACGTTGAGGTGCCAAATTATTAGGATCGCCAGAATACGGAAATCCGAGTGGTGTAAATACTAAAACTAGAAATGAAACTAATAACACAACTGCTAACGAACTAAACACAGTGTACGCTTTTTGAAGTAGTAACACCAACGGATTCTGAACAAAAATATAAATATGTATATAGAGTTATTACTTGTGCTTTGAGCTTTCCATAATATAACTTACATAAAAACTGAATACAAGAGTGAACATAGCTGATGTTATGAGTGACATAACTGATTCAGCATGATTTCCAGATCCTGATCGACCCATGATGGGGACAACCAGGAGAAGCGCTGCTTGTATCATGTAAGCAGACAACATGAATGGTACAAGCATACAGCCCCAATGTAACCACAATACTTTATAGCCTAATTATTACAAAAATCATTTTTAATTTCTGAAAAATTTTGGCAATTAAAAACCACGTTACCGTAGTTATTTTTCAGTATGGCGTTGTGTAATACAGTACTGATTGTGTTGCAAGTAACAAAGAGGGCAACTGCAAATCCTGACCTGATACGAAGTAACACACATAGCATAAGAATCATAATGAACAGCAATTGATTGCCGTCACGAGAAATGCAGTACATTAAGGACTGTGGGTAATGGGTTCCTTTTTTACCCTGTGAACAAAACCAATCAGTGACTTAAAGTATTTAATCAAATATTTTTTTTCAATATTCTTACCCATAGGAATTTTCTACCAAATAAAACTAATAGAACCATTGGTACTAAAATAGTTGGTGTAATATATAAAAATAACAGCCAAGCTGGTTGAGCGAACCAACTCAAACAGCGGTCAAGCATCACAACAGTCAGTGACAATATGGCTATCGTGACTAGAGTAGCTAACCATATTAACACAATTAAGCTTGAGCACTTAAAACACGATTTAAAATAATCCTTAACATTAAAACCTAAACAAAAAAAAATATTCATATTAAACAAAAGATAATATTATGTGACTACATCCAACATATTTTAAATATTAAAGGTATTTAAATTGTTTACCTGTAACATAAGTATGACTAGCATTGTACAAAATTACCAATAGAGAAATAATAATAACACTAATATTGATTATATCAGATAGCACTTCACTCCAATGAACAATAAATATACCCAAAAAATCAAAAAAAACCTAAAAATAATTGAGAAATTAATATAAATATTTATAAAAATAAATAAATAATAAATTGTTTACTAAATTTCCTGTGCTGTACTTTTCAACATCTGATATTTGTACTGAGTTCACTAGTTTCAAAATTAAAGGTAACATATTATCTCCAGTCCTTTGAAATGTACCAAGAGGAATTTTATCAACTGTGTCTGACTTAGTATGGTAAACATATCCATTAGCTGACCAAGCAAAATCAAGACCTTAAAATAAAACGAAACTAAAAGTTAAAAATATTATGGTTCAATAATTAAACTATCATACCAGAAACACGACCAAAGTCACGAAATATTCTATAATCAGTATCGCCTGGTATGATGCCGCTTTGAAATATTTCTTGAGCCATAGAAGAGGCCAAAGGATAGGGCACAGCATCTGAATAGGCCTAAAATTAAAAAACCATACTTAATTTAATAAATTTAACCGATCTTGAATTTCAAGTTATACTTCCAAAAGCCATGGATGATTAGGGCCAACTTGAAACAGTATTTCTTTACCGCCGGCACCACAAGCTTCCATATTGATGAATGCACGTATACTAGAAGCCCACTGATGTTGAGTAATGAACCCGTGTGATGCCTGCATCATATTTTCTTCGGCCCCATTGAAAAGAAATATTATGTTATTTTTTAAAGGAATTTTAAGACGTGATATTACACGTAATAATTCTAACATAATGGCACAACTAGCACCATCATCACTTGCCCCTATAAAACAAAATTATTTATAAAAATTTAAAAATTTAAAAATGTATTTTATGTTACCAGGGCTGTCCACGACTGAGTCGAAATGGCAATTAATCAGTAAACTGTGACGAGAAGTTTGAATAGGACCAATTTTAACAACAATATTTTGAACATTCCTGTATACATTAGTCATGCCATCGAGAAATTGCAATGAAAATGCTCCACTAACCCTTTGTAGATCCCATTCAACTTTGTGTGCAGACTCAGCTTGTTTAATAATTGTCTTAATTTCATCTAATAATAACTGCACTGCTAAAATTTCATTTTCTTTGCTTCCTACGGGCCTAGGTCCCATTGATGTTAATTTAACTAAATGATTTCTGGCTCTTTCAGCAACAAATCGGTCTGGATGATTGTGTTCATTAGATATTGTCACAGGTTCGGGTAAACTTTTTTCAAGTATAGCTAAAACTGTATAAACAACAACCGATATTACAATACATAATAAGAAATGATGTGGTCCTGCAGGTGATCGTATTCCTTTAGAGTTGTTCTCATATTTGAATGCTGTATCTTTCACATGTTTTGGTAAAATATCATACTGTTTTGATGATTTTGTTCGGAAACGTAATTTTGAATTAAAATTAGAAAATGGTTCATTCTAAACAAAAAATCCAATAAATTATTAATGTTATATATTATACTCCAATTGTAACAATGAAAAAACGCTTTATTACATTGGCACGAATCATGATTAGAAAATCCTTTGTTACTCAGTAATCTTTGGCTCCATTAATTCAATAAATCCCAGAATGCGAGGATTGCTTACACAGATTTGATGAGCTAAATGTATTTGAATATTGAGAGGAAGTGTTCCTTGGTAACCATCCTGATATAAATTAAACATAAAACAGAATTTAACAATGTTATAATATTATAAGTTAATTATGTATTACTTAAATATAATTTATTTGCATGCTCGATTAAAAATCTTAAAATCCCTGAACATTTTAAGGAATCAACATGTTTATAAAATACTCTTTATACTCATTAGATTTCAAAGCGTTAATATAAAATACCTCATTAAAATAACCAATATAAAGTATACCAACAATAGACCAAAGAAATAAATTATTTTAAAAATAGTCCCATAAAAATATAATGATGAATTTATTATTTTTACAACAATTTTTTTATTGATTAAGCACGAATTAAACAAGATACCAATAAAGAAATACTTATTTTAATAAAGTGCTTTGTTCGAAAAATACAAAGAGTAAAAAAACGCACAGTGAATATAATCAAGAATGAAACAATGGAGATGAAAAATTGTAATAAATCAGTAAAACGCACAATTCGATATTTAAAGATCTTAACTATATTAATGTACATACATCATTGTTAATCGACGCTTACCCGAGTAATAGTTAAATAAATGATTTCTTTATAGGAATTGTTTTGCCGCACGCAAGTCAGTCTTAGAGATTTCTATACTGACGGGCGACACAGCTGACGTCTGCTGATTATATCTGATAAATGATCGAAATTCGAAAATTGCCTAATAGCGTTTGCTTTGTGACTTATGCATGAGTTATGTAAAAGGATTCCGTAATATTTAACAATGCGTTATCTCGTCGCAACTACAATCGTGCTATCAATTCAAAATAACAATAATATCATAGTATAGAATCTTATCAACCAACACGAAATAATAATAATGTTACTCCATGAAGACTAGAATAATAATTTATATTCATGATGATATTTATTTATTTATTTATTTCAAACATTACGGGCAGAGCCCAATTACATTACAAGTGTACACTAAGTATAAAATTAGGTACATTTAAATATTTAAATATTAATAATTACATTTTTAATAGAACAGTAAATATATAGTTAGATATTAGATATTATGTTCATAATAATTTATAGGTAGGCTTCACGAATTACTATAGTAGTATAGTATGATCGCGCTGTGTACAGCAGAAAAACGATTCCAAATATATACTCAATATTCTATTATACTCAAAGTTCCAAAGAGTATAATATTCTAGTAGAGATAAGTACATAAGTAAATTGTATTAAGTGAGTAGTGACTACAATACTGTTCTATGCTACTACACAGACTTGAGAGTTTAGAGGTTTAGACAGTATCGCGCAAATGTAAAATAATGCGTACGTGATTTTGCTTCGATAATTAATGCTTCATAATCAAATATCAATGACCGTACCTAATTATTAAGAGTAAAGGCCAAATCCGGTTACGAGTTTACACTTTACGACATAGCGATTAGCAATAGGCATTGCACACAGTAGGTAAACATTGAACACACACTTATAAATAAACCATAGCAACAATTTAATATTGTCGTAGAAGTCGTTTGAAGTATAATGGGTACACCTACCTGACTAAACATAATTATCTATACAAATAAAAAAGTATATTGTATCATTCTAACGAAGTAAATTACCGCCCGTGATGTAAATGCAATAATAATAATTATCAATGCGGTTAAATATTTTATTTGATTTAATTTAGAGCAAAAATTGGAATACGTTACGATATCAGCTGAACAATTCAAATGTCAAAACGATAATAACGAACGAAAATCAAAATGCACTAATAAATATTAAAACAATACATTTCGATTTTAGACTTAATATGAATTCCAGTCATCACTACATTCCGTCTCACTGCTTTATGGTACAATGGTATACCCTCGACTACCTGTCTACCTATAACAAGTATAATATTGTATAATATTTATGAATAATGGCGTATAGTTGTGCAGAATGGTTGTTGGATATAATGGAAAATAATATTATTAAAATATTATAAATGTACATATTTTACAACCGATCATAATCTTTGTGTTGACATTGAAAAAACATGCTGCACTGCTGTCCAATGTCCAAACATGCGTATTTATAGGATATATATTACCAATTCGACCTTCTGGTGGTAGGAGAGGTGGTGTGGGGGGGGGGGGTAAACAGTAAAATAAAAACCGAAGAAGTCGTTCTGCTGTGTTGTAGGTTTTGAGTGTACCTCGTCATTGAGTTTGAGTAAGTCACTGTAATGAATGTTTCAAATTTGGATAAACCGTTATTGCGGCATTGCATAATACCTACCTAAACTGTCCTTAGCGAAGACTGTGTCTCATTCCTCTCTATTTCTAGGGATATTTTTGAATTTTTTTGATTATTACAGTAATAATAGGCCCGAATTTATGGGGTGGACATATTATGGTGGGAAATTCGGAATTCCTCAGATGGAATTGGAGGTCGGTAAATTTGTAGACGTTTTTTGTATGTATTAATATAACATAACGTAATGACAGTATTTTGTAATTATTGGATTGTGAATTTGTAAGGGGGAATTTAAAAACTATGTATTATACCTATTTATCATTGTTATTTAAGTGGTAGGAAAGTAAAAATAATGAATACATTTTAAATGATACCATTATGGCATTATATTATTATTACCTATTTAGGCTAACTTAATTAGGTTCCTATATATATCCTATTAAAACATACATGCAGTAACAAAGATATGCCAAAGTAGGTAGGTACCAAAATATGCCATAAAAAATTGTAGATTATAACATTTTTGTCATAATATTATTATGAAAACTATTCGTTTTAGATTTTGAGTGGAACGATGAATGTATTGATTTTACAATGATGTGTGTTTTTTTATTTTTTTTTGTGTCTGTCATCACCTTTTAGGTGATTACCTTTCAGTAGAAGTGCTTGGATTTCCTTCAACAGTATCTTTCCTGATAGGAAAGTGAATCTAGTTGGTACTTTGGGAGGGTCAAAAGTAAAAATTTCAAAAGCGACGTAAAAAACAAAAGAAAAATTAAGGAAAAACGGGAATTTTTAAGCAAAATCTGTTTTCTATAAAATCGATTTTGGTTTTAGGTGTAACTCTAAAACAAATTACCTTAGATACATGAAATTTTTACTGACTGCTTATATTAGCATTTTCTATACGACATGCCTTTTTAAAAATATTTTGACTTATTTTGAGCTGTTTAGGGACATTTTCAATTTCCAATTTTTTTAGTGTTTTATCTATAAATATCAATAAAATTGTATTTGTTGGCTAAAAAAGCTTAAAAATTTAATAGAGGACTTCTAGTGTATTGTTTCAAAGGCAGATGAAAAATATTAAAAATCCTTAGTCACAGTTTTTTTTTTCATAAGCATTTAAAGTTCAAAAATTTACAAAATATTGAAAAATCACGAAAATTAGCAAATTATTTTGAGTTAAGAATTAGTAAAAATTATTATTTTTAAATCTAAGATTTTAAAAAGTAATTCAAGATTCCTTGAAGATTATCTACCTTTATCAAAAAAAAATGTCCATAAGAAAGTCAAATTAAATTTTTATGAGCGTTTGAAATTCAAATTTTTACAACAATGGATATTCACTCGATTTCTCATATAGCGATTTCTTTATTTTGTTGTAATTCAAAAACGAATAATTGTAGATACATGCAATTTTTACTGACTGTTTATATTAGCATTTTCTATAAACCATGCCTTTTTAAAAATATTTTGACTTATTTTGAGCGGTTTAGGGACATTTTCAGTTTTCAATTTTTTGTTAATTTTTTATTCTATAAATATCAATAAAGTTTTATCTGTTGGACCAAAAAGTGTAAAAATTTAATGCAAAGCTCCTGATATATTGTTAAAAATACATAGACACATTTTTTTTTATAAGCATTTAAAGATCGAATTTTGACAAAATGTAACAAATTGAAAATTGAATAATTATTTTGTAGTTAAAAACTTATAAAATATTCAACTTTTATATCTAAGGATTGAACATTTAAAACAAGATTCCACGTAAGTAGTTAATTCTGTTACCAAAAAATCTAAAAATACATAAGCACAGTTTATTTTTATAGTAATTTTAAGTTCAAATTTGGACGAAATTACTTAATAAAAAACCTAGAATAACTATTTTAGTTATTTTGTTGTGATTATATTATAATATTCGTGGGTACTTGAAACTTCTAAAGTACACTATTATATATCTATGATAGTAACAGGGTTTTTTGTTGATGTATTACGCGTTATAAGTACCTAATGGATATTGTGATATGGTTAATTTGGAATTTATTATATAGGTACAATACAATTTTTTTTTAATACCATAGAAAAGTATGTAATATGTCTTATACCTAGACTGACTTGCCGTCTCTGCTCAAAATCGTTTTTCTTAGACAATGATATTATATCATTAAATTCAAATTTAATTCCATCCATTATACAGTGACCCACTATTGTAACCTACTGTACAGCAGAGAACCTTTTTTTTTTTAAAACATATTTACATTTTTTGTTTACCTTGATGACATTATTAATAATTAGCAGTTAGCACTCGTTAGCTCCTACTTCCTAGCCTTGACGCCTTATTTTTTATAATTGAATATAATTCAACTGTTTTAAAAATCTATATTTTTAGTATAGGTATGAAATGGCGTCATGATAGATTTTTTGAAATTGTCCTAGAATTTATTCTGACGCCCTGTATAACCCATGGGCTGCTCCAGTTAACCCATGGGCTGCTCGAGTTATCAGTTTGTCTGCTCATATTTTATAGAATTTTGAACAATAATTAACAGTTTAATTATTTTTTTGACTAACTAAATTCGTTAGGAAAATTTTTTATTTTAAATTTTGATTTAAATAAGTAGGTATTAAAATATTCAATTTAGTTATTGTATTATTT